ATTTTTGATTTTTTGATTTGTGTATTTATTTTATAATTTAAAGACAATTTCGAAATCTTACAAATTTCCGCAAAATTATTACTCTTGGAAACAATTTATTTATATAAAGATATAAATGTATCCTTAAAAATAAAAGTACTCGTGCATTAAATGATTCATTATTTTAGCTACCATCGCAACCAGCAAGTGTTTTTAGATAAAGTCAAAATCGATATCAAAGTGAATGAAATGAAAGGAGAATATGACCGGTAGTAGAAAAAACAACAACATTCTTTATATTTATCTTACCCCTTGTATAGAAGTATTTACATAGAAAAAAAAATACTTAATTAGATATGTAAAACCTCATGTATGCATACAAAATAAGATCTATAATAATTATAAAAAATAGGATGATATCATATTGTGATTACCTGTTGTCTACTCACACACAACTTTCGTTATATATCTTTTTTTTTTTAGGATGTTGATGAATAATACGTTTCTAATCGGTGTTGCTGCCACGGACATTTCAATAACGTATTTCTACCAGTTCATGAGTGAATCTTCACTTTGTCAAGAATCTCCAACAAGGCGAGACATATTATTTAATGCATAAGGATTTTATTTTCCCAATAGTTCAATAGTTTGTATCGTAAAAATAAATATTCAGGGCAGACATACATATTTGATATTTCAGATAATGAAAAATTTAATTTATACCCAATATTTAAGCAATTGATATATTCCATACTTTTGAACTTGAATGTTGTTCGCTGTCTCCATATATACTTCATCATGTTTATTGAATTTCTCTTTTAAAAAAGTGTAGGTTATAACATCTGACCACCGACTTGCTGCATATGACTTTAATTGAGCTCTTTGAATTCGAACTTGCGTACAGATATTGTATAAGAATTTGCTTTGCATTCAAACGGAGTTATAAATGTGATGTCATGCACGAATTAAAAAAAAACGTGCATGAGATCTACGTATTAAAGAGGTTTAGATCAAATGTTTAGGTTTTTTTGTAATTTCTTTACTGACTAAATTTTGCTTCTCTTTGAAGATGTTCCGTGATAGACGACAGCGGAATTCTTGTCTTGCATGATGATTTTGTAGACATTTCAACAAAATCTCTTGATATTGAAGATATCCATATCACGCAAAAGGTGAGTCAATCAGTGTAACTTAAAAGGAGAATTTCAAATTATCATCTCATTTGGATATACTTCATCCGTGAACAAATGCAATAAGTTTTCACTGTGCTTTACAGATTAAGAATAGAAAATGATATACAGTTTAATTACCAAAACAGAAGTTTTTGGCTGATTACATGTACATGTATATGAAGAAAAAAAAAGTTTCATATGTGTTAAAATAATCTAGTTTACCTTAAACGATCTAAACAATTTTATATAACTTTTCGTAGGAGCCTATAATTGCAAAAAACATGCTGGAAAACGGTGTTCTGAGCCGAAAGTCGTATTTAGATGTGTACAAACGGAGATTACAGTATACGTTTAGGGTAAGTTTTGGATAAAAGAATTTAGACTCAAAGATACGCCAGTGTTTTTATCTACGACTTGTTTAATATGAGGAACTCTTTTGGTTTTAGGAGATCGTTTTGTGTATGTCTGTTCGTTTTATGTTTTGGAGCCAAAAACTTGTGTTTTATAAAAACTCTCATCCTGTTAGTTTTTCCTTTATTATTGGCGTGGTGGCAGCGGTGGGATTATACTCGAACCCAACATCCAAGGTAAAGGAATTCCCGGCAAACGACGCATAACAGGGACAGTTTTCACGTTAGCTGTTTACAGTTTATGAGTTTACTCTTACGGTCAAACACATCATGGCCGGCAATCGCGCTCCAAAACAATGATCCTTGATCAAAAATGAAACAATTACAACATTTGAGGCGTGGAAGCAAAACCTACAGTATACACTTTCTCTCGATCTGAACTTCGCAATTATCTTAGTGGACGGAGCAACATGGGCTAAGAAAACCCCAGCAAATCCTAGACGTGGCCTTGCCAATGACGGACAAAACGTGACCGAAGAAGCACGGTGGACAGCTGCACAAAAGGTAGCCCTACTTGGAACTCATGCTCGGACAAATCGCTAATTATTGCCCAATCATCTCAAGGAAGACAATTGTTAAGAATTCCACATCTGTGAAGTCGATATGGCAAGCTATTCGAACACATTTTGGATTCCAATTTACAGGGGCTCATTTTTTAGACTTTGATAACATTCGCCTGGAACCAGGGGAACGACCTGAAGAGCTGTTTCAGAAATTAACCAGCTTCAATGAAGACAATCTACTCCAACATGGAGGAGGCATAATTTACCTTGGTGAGCCCCCTGAGGCTGATGAGGAGTTATCACCATCCCTCGAGAACCTCATCACATTGACCTGGATCCGTCTACTGCACAAGGATCTACCACACCCCTACTAATGTGTTCGGAACCTTTTATTTTTCGGTGTTCTGCAAATCATAAAACCCGATGAGTTCAGAGTAGCTCTGACAATTGCTCTGGCGAGAATTAGCGAGATTTCAGCGAGATAGGGTAAATTATTCACGGAAATGTGGCTAGGAAGTGACTAGCACGTGGAGACATGGTAAACAAAAAAGTTATGTTGCGTTTTAGTTTTCACCACCCTATAATATCATTCTGTAGAAATGTACTTCAATCGATCTTTCTTGAATTCTTTCAAGTTTAAATTATTCTTAAGTATTCTCTATGATACAATTTTCTGCTGTCATGAATTAAAATTTCTTTATGGACAAATATTTTGCATGGGAACCGAGACTATATTTTTTGTCGTCAGATTAGCAAATGAGGCACCAATGTGACTTTAACTGAAAAATCAGATGAATGAGAATTGCATTATGGGTTACTATGAATACTACAGGAATTTTACCTTGATAAATTCCTTTATCGTTCTATCGGTGAATGCAATTGTCATGCAGATTCACTGGCCAAAACACATGATCACGAGTATAGTTATGAAAAAAAAAGTTTTGTCCATTTAAAAGCTTAAGATATGCGGCTCGTTTTCCTTACCCTTGAAGAGCTTGTGTTCTGAACTTGACACAAACTACATATACATTTTATCAAATATATTTTTCTCTAGTTAACAACAAATTAAAAACGCCCGTGATACTCTTCATAGTTTCTAATGTTTGCCTTTTGTTCATGACTTTTTTTTTAATTTTGCACTCCATTGACATAATCATAGATTGACCTGAACCACGTGTTCGAAGTAACATGTAAACGTGTATTTGGCGTAAACGTATTCAATCAACAATTGGTCAGTTGCTCGTTTAAGAAACTCAAAGTGCGCATTAATAGCAATAGCCATATAAGGCAAACAAAGGTTTGTCAGTGTAGATGATATTACACATTTTTTAACAGCGTATCGGTCGCTAGTGAGCTGTAATTTCTGCAGTTAACTATAAGATGTATTAATTGGTATTTAACCCCCCCCCCTTAAGCCACCCATTTCTGTTGAAATTCATGAAAGTCTTTCAGAATGGCGTGGAAACACATTTTTCACAGGACATATTTTCAGAACAAACAGGCTATAGCAATTTCCAACTTACTGCCAATTTTATTTATAAAACCGGATTCCCTATAACCTTTGAATAGGTAAACCTAACCCACGTGTCTTGAATTTATTGTAGTCACAATAAATTAAAAGGGTGTACCAGCCTTGGTTAAACAACGTTATGACCCAGAGTTAATGTGGGAAATGTCATCAAGCTAGCCTTAAACCAGAAATATCTTTTTTTGGACAGCCTTCTCGATGAAATGCGTTTGAACAATGATGCCAAAGTCATTCGCGCAGCCTTTAAAAGCTACAATCCACCTCCGTCCACAATGCAACGGACTCAACATATTCGCACGAAGACCAACAAGGTATGCCCATTATGCAACACAAGCAGGAAAACCTACGCTCTGATCATTTTCTAAGCACCTGCAAATTCTTACCTCAAGATGACGAGCCAGACACCTATGCGCTAGCAATAAACAAGGGGGGGACGATGCTGATGAGGAAAATAGTCCAGTAACCCACTCCATGACGATCAACTCTATGACCTGGAAGAAGTCCCTACTTCTATGTCACATGTATATCAGCACAAAACAATCTCCACAAATGAAAGCTTACTACAATCAACATGTCATCCACATAACATTAGACAGTGGAGCAGAAATCAGTATGAATAGAGCGTGCGTTGCTGAGCTCCTTATCACTTGATGTCAAAAAGTCCACACAACATGCGTTACAGGCTGAAGGCACCACTCCGCTAGAAATAGTAGGTGATACACACTTTGATGGACCCAGAAAACATAACGCTACATGTTGAGGCCCTAGTAGTGAAAGATCTTGATGTGGACTTCCTAGCAGGAATCCCATTTATGTGTGCTAATGATATAAGTATGGAGGCGTTACACAGCACTTCATGAAATTATGATTGGTGACCTCCGTGTTATCCATTACCATACTCGGGAAGGAAACCAAAAGCACCACTTTTTATGCGAACTCATGCATATGTTATGAAGTCCTCATCTACCACAGTATGGCCTGGATCACACCTTGAGCTTGACGTACCAGAACACATCCCAGCTGCGGGTACAGTGGCTTTTGAACCCCGCGGTGAATCTCGATGTGCACAACACATGTGGCCTAGATTTGAAATTGTTGAGGTAGTAGCAGGAAAAATTCGCATAGTCAATAATACAGATGAACCCAAGCAACTGAAGAGAAATGAACATTTCTGTCAAGTCCTTCCTACTATACCGGCATCAAACAACACTAATGAGACAGTGTGCAGTTCCTTGCCAACCCCTGAGACTTCACTACATGTTTAGCACTGTCCCCCACTCAGGTACTGTCAAGGTCAATCCTGACCATATACTCAAGTGACGTGGCTCTCATGCGAAATCGAGGCTTTGTGGATATCTGCAGCCATAAAACATTTCAACCCTTACATCATCCAGTCAGCCCACAAAACATGCGTCCTTACAGACAGCAAACCGTGCGTACAGGCTATACAAAAGCTTTGCCATTTGAGGTGTGGAAGCTCTCAGTGACATCCTTCCTCTCTACAGCTAGCCGTTACCAGGTTGACCTACAAAATCTTGCAGGTTTCCGTCTAACTTCGCCAGCAGTGCAGCAGAATGCAAAATCCTTCATGCCAAATATGATACAAATAGGAATTGCTAATTGCGTGTTGCAAAAGTCAAAGACACAAAATACCATTAAAATGGAAACCTTGCCATTTACCCTTTACAACTAGGTTTTAGAGTGTGATAACATTCGCCTGGAACCGAGTGCCGGACCTAAGACGAACTCATACACACTTAAAACAGGGTACCGGATCCTCCGAGAGGTCAAGCATATTTACAACATAGCTACAATTGCAAGAGATGGTTTACTTGTGGCACGCAGGTCTAATCCACTACAGCCACCAACTGAGCTCATCATAGCAGTGTCCTTGATGGCCTTGTAAATGCCCTTCACATTCGTTTGGATCACCCTACAAAACACCAAATGTTGTTGGTCATAAAGCGCAACTTCTATGCATTGGGTTTGCCTCAAGCAGGAAGACCGTGTATGTGACTCTTGCCAAGCACCTGCAAATTCACTCAAAAAAATTCCAAATAGACACATTGAACAGTCTAGAACCTCCCCTTGATGCTCAAAACTTTGCTGCTGTCTGCATAAAGCAGAACCACCAACTAATCCTGGTCTTAAGAGAAATCGGTAACCAGACATAGCCTGTCCTAGTTGCCGAGCTCACACCTTACAGAGAAGCACTGCTCCTGCTGTGCATGGTGAAACACACTTGATGGGCCAAGAGCTATTATCCGTGTTGACCCTGCTCCAAGTTTTGTGGCCTTGCTAGCAGGAATGACCTCTTGGATCACTATAGCATCAATCTTGAAATCGGTCGAGTTAAAAACCCTGATAAGAACCCAGTACCGAAAAAGCCGTTGCAGAACTTGCAGGATGTTATGAAATCCACAAGAGCCTGGAGGAGGCCCAGTCTCGCAGCATAGCCTTTCCACTGCCGTAGCAAGACTAATTCCCGTATCCGTAGTGAGGGCCTGTCGGCACAGAAATGTACCCAACACAATCAGTTCACACACGAACAACTTCCCATAGTGAGGCAAGCTCAAAGGGACTCTAACATTTCAGTCAGTGCATGGTCCAAGTCGAACAACAAAAGGGCACAGTGTCCAGTTCCTTGCCATCCCCTGTCGGTATTCTACTGTATTTGTATTCGGACAGAGAAGACCAAAGCCCGTCCCAGATATATTGTAGTCTCGGTGATTGATGAGTGGTGATATGTGAAAAAATTTTCCGGTCAACAATTACGATCTAGCTCGTACAAGATCAAAGCAAGTGAGTGTTACCGTGTTCCCACAGAAGTAACCTGTAAGTCCCAACGACAATGCATCCCTGAAGACGAAGACCTGGAAGATATTCCTATCTCCCTACTCGACACTTCTGAGAAGCTTCTCCCCTCAAAACCTGCAGGAACCATCCCACAAGATAAGGTCTCTACCTATGAACCACCTCCGATTCCAGAAGTGCTATGTACACCCCCACACACAACCGCAAAGGCACAGGAGGAAGAGCGGGGATCCGGATACAGAGAACGAGGTCCGAGATGCCTCAAATCACCCTCAGAGAGCAAGAAACCCTCCGTCTTACTTAAAGGACTATGTTGTATCCCTGTGAACAATTATTCCCTTAATTAATAAGAACGAGCTGTTTTGTAAGCAGTTCTTAAACATGTTAAAGTTTGACTTTAATTTGTACACTTCATTTTCTCAACTAGTTTGCATCTGCCACAGAGAGTGTGTTTATAATTGCTTTATATAAGAGGTTGTGCCAGTGTTTTTATGTACGACTTGTTTAATATGAGGAACTCTTTTGGTTTTAGGAGATCGTTCTGTGTATGTCTGTTCGTTTTATGTTTTGGAGCCAAAAACTTGTGTTTTATAAAAACTGCCATCAAGTTAGTTTTTTCCTTTATTATTGGCGATAAGATTTTTTCCCTGCAAGCATGGTCTATGTTTAAATCTATTTCTTTTGTTTGCAGGTGTCTCCAGTTAATTTTACGAACTCTCATTACCAACTGCTTCCTTTACCGAACAGCAATCTATTTATTTTGCTAGTACGTCAACAGTTCTTCAACACACAGATTCAATGTTGTGGTGTAAGTAAATCTCAGAGATCTAATCATTTATTTCATTTTTTTACAATGCTGAATATAATTTTACGGTATTTATTTTAATTTCTACTAAATTGGATATAATTTTTTTAAAAATGCATTTTTAATAAATAGATTTAGAGATTTTATTGCCTTCCAGATAATTGTTGAATTAATTTATTAGCACAATATATTGTGAATGATTATATCTTACAGGGTGGGGGGATATAATATGGATGTTGCCTTAAAGAGCTTGTGCGTAAAGAAAGCATTTTACCCAAATTTGACTTTCTGAACTCTTTTGCAAATGTAAACTTTGGACATGATTTTTGAATGGTTAGACCTGGAGCGTTTGAACTGTTCACATATTAAATGTGACAAGACCTTACCTTAGGTGCCACCAAGTTTTACTGTTTATTCTTTGAGATTGACCTTCGTTAAACATTGGCCACGCTTTTTGAACGGATGATTAAATGACTGTCTTATCATTAGTACATTCCTTGTGGCAAATCCTTTCCATTGGTACCAACAATTCGACCAAGACTCTGGAGTTTGACTTACTTTTGAAAAACTCACACTTTTGTAATATGTTTGAATAGTTGGTTTTCATATTACACATTTTGTATTCCCTGTGATGGGAACTTCACTTCGAAAGCAACCAACGATATCGAGAATTTGACCTTCTGTGGAAAAATTCTAACCTTGGACTTAATATTTGAATTATTCGTGCAAGAGTTTTTATATTTCATGGATCTTTCCTTGTGACAAAATTTTATCTCAGACTCCATTACTTTTTACGTTTTGATTTTGGAGTTTGGCCTACTTTTGAAAACTTGGCCATATGTATATTTTGTGACAAGGCCTTTCATAAGTAATTAATGTTTTAAACTCTTGACTTTGACCTTGGAGTTTGCATTTAAGAAACACCAAGGTCCTCTATGGAATGTCACCAAGGCATAAAATGTATCAGCGTTTGCAGAACACATCTTCTTAAAAAATACTTTTTAAACAAATTTCATGCATATGAATATTCCAATTCCAGAATTTTAGTGAATTTCCTGCTGGCCAACAATGCGTGAATAAAGCTGAATGCGAATGCTTATGTTACAAGACTGCAGCGTATGATTACTGCGACAATAATTTTAAGCGGGAGAGGTCTGTAGGTTCTGTTTTATTGATTTTGTACACAAGATAATTTATTTTTGTCCCCCGCTTTCGCGAAAGCGAGGGGGCATTAAATCTCATTCGTCTGTCCGTCAGTCCGTCCGTCACAAAAAAATTAACCTTGGTAATATCATTTGATTGAGAAAAGATAGGGCATTCATATTACACATGTGTATTACCTGTGACAAGACCTTTCTAGATACACTCTGATTTTTGTCCCCATGACCTTGATCTTTAAGTTTGACCTACTTTAAAAAATTAAAAATTACATTGAATTGTCCATAACTTTCGAATGAGAAAAGATAGGGCTTTAATATTAAAAATGCGTATTACCTGTGACAAGACATTTCTTAATACACTATGATTTTTTACCTCGTGACCTTGACGTTGAAATTTGACTTACTTTTCAAAAACTTTAACCTTGGTCATAACTTTTGAATAAGAAGAGATATGGCTTTCATATGACACATGTATACATGTATTACCTGTGATAAGACCTTTCTAAATATGCTATACAGTAACTGTTGATGCCGCGACGTTGACCCTAAAAATGGTCCTTCTTTTTAAAAATTTAAACATTACTTTGAATTGGCCATAACTATTGAATGAGAAGAGACAGGGCTTTCATATTATACATGTACGCTATATACTAGTATTACCTATGACAATATCGTTCTAAATACACTTTTCACCTCGTGACCTTGACGTTGAAGTTTTGACCTACTTTTCAAAAATGCTATTTTTCCATAACTTTTGATTCACAAGAGATAGGGCTTTCTTATTTAACATGTGTATTACCTGTGACAAGATATGTCCGAGATGATATGATTTCTGACCCCTTGACCTTCAAAACTGACCTAATTAAAAAAAAATCAACTTCGGTGATAACTTTTAAATTACATATGGTAGGGCATTTTTATTTGACACAATATGTCATAAAAAGACATCTCACTCACAAAGACACCGAAAGCGGGGGACCACAATTCTTTGAATTTGCTTTTATTATTAATATCATACTCCAAAATGGGCTAAATCATATCTTGTTCTATTAATAGAAGAAAAGTTTAGTTTACGTTCCTGTAATTTTGTAGGGAAACCCTTCATTCTCCTATCTGCACTGGTGGACCATCAATAGCCAATGCAGAACCGCTTCGAGGAATTCACAGACCCCACAATGTACAAAGGTGTTTTGACACGAAATGTTCAGACAAAATATCAAAAAGGTAAGGCTACTGAATATTTAATGATACTTTGAGTATGAAAGAAATTAATAGCCATTCTCTGTAAGGATTTAAACTCTTATATAGGGAGTGTGGCACGCAAGGTCTTGCATTTTTATTAAACTTGGCACACATTCCTATATTGATGTACTAAACTTTAACTCATAATTAAATAATTGCTATGGTCTATGGTTACCATGACAACTATTATGAATTGTTCATGGCCTAAAAATCGCTAAATGATAAAAAAAATGACCCTTTTTGACTTATTAAGAGTCTTTAATATTGTATATTTATTGACTGAGTTCGAGAGCAACATGCATTTTATCGGTCCCAAAGAACCAAACTGTGTGCCTGAGGCCGTTAGGCAGACAGTTTGGTTCGAAGGTCGCCAAAACGCATGTTACCCGAGAACAAAGTCATTAAATAATTTGTTATACCTTTAATTTAATTTTATTTTTTTTGGACATACATGTATTTTATATTATTACCTAACCTATTATATAAAATGTAATAAGGCATTTTGAACTGTTTCACGATTCATTTTATGTTTTTGTGTGATCATGAAACAGTCGAACTGCTGACCGGGCCACAGAATGAACTGTTGCCTGTTTAAAGCATCATCGGGATATTCAAGCATTTTGATGATCACAACATCACTATTTACCTGCTATATAATTGACTAAATTGGAATAAAACACACAGTCAAACAATCAATTTATTAAGTATTAATTAAAATTATTAAAAATTAATTTAATCTTTACATTCTGTGTTCAACTAATTAATAGACTTGTATGTGTATAAACGGTTGATAAAACTCTTTATTGATTGTTTGTGTGTTTTTATTCCAGTTTAGTTAATTATATAGTAGGTTATTTAATAAAACACTTATTTAATGACTACTCGGTAAAACAGTCAAACTATTGTCCCTCGGAAGTGGAAAGACCTGGGAAACTGTTGCCCTCGGCCTTTTGAAAAGCCTGGTATCATTTTTTTGTGCGGGCATTTGGGAAAAAATAATTACTCGTAGTTCTAAAATAAACTACAAAGAAACACTTGGCATGGTTACAAACTGTAAGCCAATGATAAGAAAATAGTCTTTTTCATAGAGTTTATTTTAAGTACTGAGAGTGAGAGATAGTACAGATGCTGATAATATAGTGGACCCCGATAGTGGACGTGATCGTAAGTGGCTCCTGGTCCTATAATGTCTCTATATGGAACGCCATAGCTGCCTTATGTGACTATTTTATACGAAGGTGGTGCTCTGTTATATTATGCTGTGGTTATTTCATATGAAGGTGGTGCTCTATTATATTTGCTGTGATTATTTCATGTGAAGGTGGTGCTTTATTTCATTATGCTGTGGTTATTTCATATGAAGATGGTGCTTTATTTCATTATGCCATGGTTATTTTACATGAAGATGGTGCTTTATTATATTATGTTGTGGTAATTTCATATGAAGGTGGTGCTTTATAATATTATGCTGTTATTTATACAGAGAAAATTGACGCAAAACTCAATATAGAATTTATATTTATTTATTGTGGCGAGTATTGGCCGTGGCACAGTACAAAATTGTGGGACGCCATTTCAATTGGGCGAACCCACCAAATTCAAACACCAACAATGTGTGTTTCTTTTTTCTAACCGTCCCGGGTTAACCGCGGAGGGTCAGCACACATACAAACTGTTCAAATCAATCAATCAATCAATCAATCATTCAATCAATCAATAAGTCATATCTCAAATTCCAAATATCAAGCATATCAACTTATTTTATCAAATCTTGTATATCATATATCATTAATATCTCAAACTTCATAGATCAAACATCTCAAACTTCAAATATCAACATTTTTCATATTTCAAACCTGTACGATGTAGTACAGTTCTAAAGTATATATTACTGTCACCAAGAGTAAGCTTATTAGCTTAGTTTACACTAGCATTAGCATTTCAACAAGGTGACAGTTTATTACAAGTTTCACACAAACATTCAGTTATCAGTTGACTTGGTGTGCGCAGACGCTTCACACTAATGACTTCTCCTTGAAAAAGTGCCACGACAGTTTCTTTTAGTTTAAAATATCAATCCTATGACCAACTATATACTACCAATTTGATTTTATAAACGATAGAAAGTTTCACAATTTTGCAACACTATTCGGTACGGATAATGCACAGAGACAATTTAGCGCATGTTTAGCACAATCCTTCAGGCTGGCAATGGACTTGATGTGGGAATCATGTGGTAGATTCTTCACTTTAACTTCTCCTTAGACATCACCAGGATATTTTTTCTATGGGTATAAGGTATTCATCTCGGCAAGCAGATCAAAGCTGTTTCACTGCAAAATAAAGCAAAAAACCAAGCAGCAGAATATCCTTCTTTACTTAGAGAAAATGGAACATTCTAAACATAAGGTAGTGGGAGGGCGGGTTTTTAAAGTTACAAAACAAAATTTCATGTATTTTATTGCAAGCAATTGTTATGCGTCTTTACCTTCGAAAGGTTCAGGAGAAAGGAATGTGAAGATCAAACCCGACCTTTTATATACTACACTTGATGTGTCAACCGAACCCGACCCCTAAAAGCCAACGTTTAAATAACAAATACTTGGGACCTATAAACTAGTTTATAGGTCCCTTCAAATATACTTTTCTCGTAAAATAAAGGCATCTATTTTGTATACACAAATAGATGCTATTATTTATACAGAGAAAATTGACACAAAACTCAATATAGAATTTATATTTATTTATTGTGGCGAGTATTGGCCGTGGCACAGTACAAAATTGTGGGACGCCATTTCAATTGGGCGAACCCACCAAATTCAAACATCAACAATGTGTGTTTCTTTTTTCTAACCGTCCCGGGTTAACCGCGGAGGGTCAGCACACATACAAACTGTTCAAATCAATCAATCAATCAATCAATCATTCAATCAATCAATAAGTCATATCTCAAATTCCAAATATCAAGCATATCAACTTATTTTATCAAATCTTGTATATCATATATCATTAATATCTCAAACTTCATAGATCAAACATCTCAAACTTCAAATATCAACATTTTTCATATTTCAAACCTGTACGATGTAGTACAGTTCTAAAGTATATATTACTGTCACCAAGAGTAAGCTTATTAGCTTAGTTTACACTAGCATTAGCATTTCAACAAGGTGACAGTTTATTACAAGTTTCACACAAACATTCAGTTATCAGTTGACTTGGTGTGCGCAGACGCCACATGGCTGCAAGTTGGCACAGCTTGCAGTCACCCCACACATTGGGGGGAAGCAAAGCAAGTCAACTGGACCACGACCAATACTGCCAAGACCCCCCTTCCCAGCTAGATCCTTGCACACATCTTGATTCCTAGATGTGCATATCCTTCAGCAGACTTAGACTAAAGTATTTTGAATTTCCCTTAATTTAGAAAAGGTTTTACAACACATAAGGCAATCAAATCTTACCAAATGTGATGTATCTCACCTAGTTCCTCAATGCCTAATAAAGCTTTGTCTTGTAGAAACTTACCTGTCTATTAATTCCTTCTAAATGTCTGAGCAACCTTGCAATGCTCTTTACCACCATAATTTTTTGTTTCTCCATTATTCAACGCAAGTTAGATGTAAATGGTTGTAGTTAATCAAAATTAAAGATCTGGGTGTTTTTTTTTTTTTTTTTTTTTTTTTGGTTTTTTTTTTTTTTTTTGTTTTTTTTTTTTTTTAAACAAAATATTGGGAGTTTCACTCAAGAGAACTACCTATATCATAATTCCTGTTTAAAAATTGCTAGGAAAGCCATGTCCTGCTGTTGAAAAAACCAAATTTTATATCTCCGAAGACGACTCATTCACTCTCTAATTAGCCAATTGAAGCAGAGCAATTTGAAATTCTTAATCATATTCAATTACAAGAAGGTACAACACCATTTAGTGATGGTTACAATACTTGTGTACTTGACTAATCTTATTTATGTGCTAATTGACTAAGTCCCTTCCCAATTACATAGATTCTTTCAATAAATATTATTAATGCCTGTGATACATGTATGTGCATCTGAGCTCTACCGCTCTATATGACCACATTCTTCCACTGTGTAGCCCAAAATGTAAAGCAAAGTCTAAAATTCTTAAAGGTATAGATTTTTGATTATTAATTACATCAAATGGAAATATTTTATTTTATTTATTTATTTATTTATTATATGCAATGAGCCTGAATACACGTATTGCATGTACTGCTATCAATATGTGCTTGATCCTTCTTAATAGTATTTTGATTAAAAAACATACACCAAGTGAAATTCGTTTTACATGTAAATGCAAGCCCAAGGGACAATGCGCAGTCCTAAGTTTTAAAGTCCGCATAATAAGAACAGAGTTACAAAATAAAAGCACCCTGTGAGGAACTTTAATAGCCCAAACATCTTAAAAATGAAGTCAAATGTACATTCAAGGTTGAGCAATCTGTATAAAAATCCAAAAACATATAAACTTTCTGTGAGAACTCTTTTGAAAATTAATTGATACATTGTTAGGGATTTAAGGAACTTGCTTAATTGTGTCACTTCTTGTGTGTAAATATAACCAAATAGTTTAAATAAGTTTATTTGCAACATACATTCTGTTGCATTTATTATAAGTTAACTTGGATTCTAGAAGTAATTGTAATTTAACTTGGTATTTTTAACACTGTTATCTTAAGTAACCTGAACTGATCTGGAAGGTCATGTCTACCTACATCTCAAATATCCAATATCTCTACTAAAAGCTTTTCCTAATCCCAAACGTTTAAGAAAATGAGATTTGACTATTCCTTTTTTGCTTTAATTATTAAAAACCATAATATATTCATTTATAAATGATTACAAAACATTCTTGACATTTCTTGGATTACATATTGCAATTTCCAACCTTTCATTTCCACTTTATTGGATCAAAACAAAACTATCCTAGTAATTCCAGTCTTAGGCAATGGATGGTTTAT